TGGACAACAGAGCGAAACCAAGTCTCAAAAAAAAAAAAAAAAAAATTAAAACTACTTGAGATCACTTATTCACAGGTGTCCTCCAAATTCTTTAAACGCACACGTACCACTACTATAATCAATGAAGTAAAAATAAGCTCTGCTATTTCATCATTCAACACAGCAACTGTTGTCATTTTTTATAGCTCACATCTATTCTCGATTATAATGAAATCAGAATTGTTAATCCTGGTTTTCTAACTTATCATATCAAATATATTTTCATAACTATCAGAACTTCAATTTTTAATGACTATAAAACATCCCATAGAGTTAACGCCACCAGAACCTCTCCTGGTAGGTGTGTGGTGGGCGATTTTCAGATTTTGCTGTTATCAGTGATAATACCATGAATGTGTTCCCGCATTCTATTTCTTCCTCCTTTGAATTATTTATTTAGAATAAATTCCTGGGGATGGATGAAAATGTATGAACAATGGCTCCTACTATACATTGCCAAATTACTGCATTTGTATTTTGCACAGTTCCTCGATCATATGCTTGTGAATGTTTTACAACAGGCTTACCCAAAAAACGACTGGGAGGAGCCTGATGTATTGTGTTTGGTGATTTTCATGGTGTAACTATTCCTACCACGGTCAATGTCAAGCTACATGGCATTAGTGAATGCAAAACTAAAAAGAAATGTTCCAAGAGCACTCCATTATACAGTACTTCCATTATGGAGATAAACAGAAGGAAATAACTTCACTGGCTGGGAACATTTCAGAAAATATTATAACCAGCTTTTGCAAACAAGCACAGGCTGGTTTGAGAACACCACTGTAAATATCCCACTTGGTATTTTGCAAGAGTGTATTTCCTTTTCTCATTGAAAGCCATTGAAAATTCACCTTATTCCCATTTGGTGACAAACAATGACCATGTTTTGGGGTCAGCAGATCATACAAATAATGAATAAAACACAGTAAAAAAAGAAAAAGGATAGAGTGGGATATCTATCTCCTGTTTGGGTCAATTCATTGTCTACAAGACATTCATTTCACAGTGTTTTTTTCCCTCCAGGTCAGGTATGCAAACTACTCAGTCATTAATTCACCTTGACAATGACCTGAATGCATGACAGTGTGTAGTTCTCACGGCAAATGTGATGAGAACCACTGTTACTTCACCACTCTCTTCCTTGGTCTTTTCTACGAAATGAGGAAGTGATCACTGCTGACTTCAGTTTTACAAGAAACTAAGCAGAGATAAGAAGGCTCTAACTCACTCTCCAAGAAGCTATTGAACATTTAGTAATGCTCTGGAAATTCATTCCAAGTGTAGCTCATTAATATTCTATTTTACCAGAATAGAGAGATGGGAAGGTGGTTTGGCACATTGTCCCTTAAAAGCAAATTCCTTTCTTTGGGCTCTCCCTGAGCAATAATATATAGTTTCTGCATGTACATTACACTTCAGAGTTTTTAAAGAAGTGATGCCCTATATTTACATGCTAAAATGTACATGAGCTAAATATGCTCACACCCTTCATCCAGTCACCCACTCCCAGGAACTCCTTCCAAGGAACACAATTGAAACAAAGGAAAACACTTTCTGTGTGAACATAATAATCACAGTGGAAAGTAGATTGATTTGTTTCACTTTGGCACTTATTCAACTTACCATCTTGGTTTTGGGGACCCTCATAGTAGAATTTTGGTTTGATGGCTCCCAAGTCCCTACTGCGACGTGTTTGTAAGTTGTTTTAGGGTTTGTATCTTTTAATCACACATAGTACATGAAAATTCCTAATTCTCATAAGCTCCCCGAGCCGAGGTCCAGCCAGCCTTAGGAACTACTGTTCCAGGACTGAACCAGACACTTCAACCCCATCTCTAAACAAGTGCCCATTATCTGTGGAACAGTGTGACAACTTCTTGGGCAAGTCGTCAAGAGGGCATTCAAGCAGCTGCTGTAGCGCTACGATGGAGCCATGTTTCTGGCATCCTTCCTGGTACCCTCTGGTCACCTGTCCCATCTCTGACACCCTCTTTGCTCTCACTGACTGCCCAGCCCCTCAGACTTTCCTGCTGCCTGCCAGCCTTCACCTGGGCACCCCATCCTGGCCTGTGCCTATCCTTTGCCATCCACCACCCTCCCAAAGTCCTCCCTGTGATCTCAGCAGGGCTCTACTCCTCTGCACACATAATTGAGAGTCTTCTGCATAATTAACATGCCAACTGTATTTGCATTTTTAAAAGGGAGATTTCTAATCCAAAAGAATCTCTAATCTAGAAAGTGGAATGAGGAAGCAGGATGTTTTTTAATCTTGGTTTCCACCCAGATCCAAACACCCAGAACCCAAATAAACGCTTGGAGCACTTGTTGTCAAAATGGTCCCAACTCCTCAATAAAAATGGATTTTTAGCTGTGCCTTACTTGTGCTGAAATTAAAATAGCAAAAAATTAAAGAATTTAATTTAAACTGGCCATGGAAGAAAAGTCATTCTCTCTGTCTCTAATTCCAAGCACCTCTATGGTTCCAGGCAAAGCCTTCAGGGAGCCCCATCAGCAGAGGAGTGCTCTTCTGAGCCTGAGAAACTGGCATGGAAAAGTTCAAAACTCAGTTCCTAATCTTGTTGGCCTTTGTGATGTGCATTATCATTATAAAACACTCAACCCTGTGCCTAGTCCATACTCAGTGCTTAAAACATGTTGATTCACAAACTCCGCCTGTCACCCTCAATTTCCCTTGATAAGAATACTGGCATTAAAAAAGTTAGTTTTCAGATCTCTTACTCCCAAGCCAGGAATCATATCATCTTCTTTTGCCTCAAGTTCTTTATTTTATTTTTTTTGAGACAAAGTCTTACTCTATCACCCTGAATAGAGTGCCATGGTGTCACAGCTTACAGCAACCTCGAACTCCTGGGCTCAAGCAATCCTCTTGCCTCAGCCTCCCAGTAGCTGGTGCCACAGGCACCTGCCACAAGGCTTGGCTAGTTTTTCTACTTTTAGTAGAGACAGGGTCTTGCTCTTGCTCTTGCTCAGGCTGGTCTCGAATTCCTAAGCTCAAGCAATCCACCCACCTCAGCCTCCCAGAGTGCTAGGATTGGAGGTATGAACCACTGCACGTGGCTTCTCATAGCCAAGTGCTTATTAAGATTCATAATAGCTAAATCTGTCGAAAGTTTGTTTTATGCCAAGCACTGGCTAAATGCTTTACATATTATCTCATTTTCTCTCTGCAACAATCCTGTGAAGTAGTAGGTATTCTCAGTTCTTTTTACTGGCCTTAGAGTTATTTTATAATTTTTTTTTTAATCTGACCATTGAAGAAGTAACTTGTCTGAGGTTCCCACAGCCCAGAAATGATAGCACTGGGATTCAACCTGAGGCAAACTGACTCCAAAGTCTGGGTTCTTATTCACCATATGTTTGTTATTATGTGGATTTACATATTTTATGATGCAGAAAAAAGGTGTTTGGAATCGTTATGATCCACTGACTCACTAAAGGAGTGTCCAGACAGGGAACAGCAGCAAATCCATACCATCCCGTTTAGACAGAGGGGGCCTTTTGAGAAATAGAGACTCGCTTATAAACCATTAACCAACTTATTCTCCCAAGAGGAAGGCCACTTTAATTACTGGATGATTGAAGGGCCTCCTAAAACTGTAGAAGAGGAGGTCTGACAGGTACCCAGGCCACACAGACCTTCCTCTGCATCAGTGATGTACAAAGGGAAGATGGTACCGGGCATATACGGGACCACAGATGGATGCAGGATGCAGAAAGAGCCCCAGAGGAGGCAAAGCTCACCTCGTTCCCCCGGAGACGGGATGCTGCCAGGCCTGCGGGAGCTGGTCACGAGACACTGAAAGGCAAATGACCAGAAACTACCAAACGGAGGCTCTTCTCCGCCGGGGCCTGTCCACACCCCAACCTGCCTTTCTTATTTCCTGCAGTATGTAAAATAAGCTTTCTCGTCTTCTCCAGCCACCTCTTCAATGGACTAGTCACCTCCAAATCAGCCTCATCTTAGTGTCTTTCCCCACAACGTCCTCCCAGTCTGAAATAATGTTGCTCTTTCCCACTAACTCAGACCCCACCTCCTGGCAAAGTCCACCTGTCCTGAGTACTCTAGTCCACTCCCAAACCCCTTCTTGGAACTCCTATAAGTCGTAAATAAAGCCTATGCTACCCCGTCTATCACTTAATTCCCATCTCACACTACTTCCTAAATTTTACTTTTCACCACAACTACTGGATTATAAAGTCCTCCAAAGCAGAGGTTTCTTTGTACATGTTTCTCTTACAGCCTCCACAGCACCAGCTTAGAACCGATAAGTAATCAACTTCTTATGGTTTGCTTGAATACGCCAAGGCAGCTTTAATTTAGTACAGTGCCGAAACCTGGTGATGTCCCCAAACAACTCAGGCTACTGACCGGTACCTCACAGCATGCCTCCACGCCAAACCACTTCCAAAACCAAAATGTGATTTAATTGAAAAATGAATACTTACATATCATATACCACTTTTAGAAAATGCACATCAACCTTGGTGACAGGTGAAACAAACAAGCTTCCAGATCCAAGTCTACGTATTTAGACTTTGATTCTGTTTCCTTTCTGAACTAGAAAATTTTAAAATGCATGTTTGTGTACCTAAGAGGATCTTTCTATTTTACTTCATGAAACCTTGGGAGATATTTAGACTACCCCTGTAGTTGAGCTCAGTCATGCTCAAGCACAAGGATGGGCATTCTGGAGGAGAGTATCTGGGAAAGTCAAAAAGCCAACTATTACAACTTTAATGTTTCAAAAACTATCAGCATCTTGTTAAGACTTTGGTGGGGAGAACACAGCAGATAACAAAGCAACCCCCCCTGTCCTCTCCCTGTAAACTGGGTGGACAGGGTGCCTACCTCATTCAGCCTAGAACAAGTGCTATGTGAAAGTGGAAAGATTCCTTTTGACCCTAAAGAAGTATTTTTAAAGAAGCAAAAGTCTTACCTGTTGCGGAAAACTGAAGAAAATTCTTGACACCAAAATGACTGACTCCGGAAGTCAAGTGTGCTCGGCACAGGTGGGTAAAACCAAAAGCAGCCCCAGCCAGGTCACCCTGGGGGACCTGCTTCCAGGATCAACCTCTCCTTCTTCCCCAAGAACGGAACTGATTCACATCAGAAGGACGGAGAATGGAAGAGCTGGGCCGGTAGAGAGTCCAGCCCAAGACCGTCGGGCTTAGAGTGAGTGGCGACTGAGGTGGCAGAGGCCAGCCCGGTGTGACAAAAGAGATTAGCAAGTTCCTGTGCACCAGTCAATTTCCTGTAGCCGGCTTCTCCGCAGAGGGGTTTCATCTGTGTGGGTTCGGGGGTGTGTGCATGCACGCGCATTCCTCTCCACGAGAATATATAAAACTGCCTCAGATAAGAGGCAGAATACGCGGCTGGACTTGGGTTTTATTTATTCCCCCTTCCCCCACCTTCAGTCCATATCCTCGCCTCCCCCATTTTCCTGAGGCAAATCACCTCGCAAAACTGAGAGGAAGAGTGAAAAAAAAGTGAAAAAGATGATTCCCCAAGGAAGTGAAATAAAGCAAAAAGAAAAAAAGTGTCCACACCACTGACCAGTCTTGGTTAATTTAAGCTTAGGAAAAAGCCCCTTAGAACTTCCAGGTCAGCTTGGTGAACACACTAACTACGGGGTGGGGGTGGGGGGAACAGTAGGCAAGTTGTTGGTTTGCTTTATTTAAAAACCACCAGATAATAATTTGGAAAGAACAGACGCAGCCATAGGGAGAACTCAGGCATCCCACGCACTCGCCCCGTGTGGACGGCCACCTGGACTGCAAGGGGCTTGACTGTGAGTTGTTTACAGACTCCTCAGAGTTTCACTATTTGCCTAAAAACACAAATTTACTTGTTTTGTCCTTCTGTGCCATCCAGGTGTAGAAACCATCAGCAACTATTTAAATTATGGCTAAATTGCTTAAGCCAACAAATGGAACTTTTCACAATGTAATCACAACCCTCTGTGCCCCAATCCCCGAATACTTGTAACTGCTACCACCCAGCTGGTATCTTGGTCAGAATACCTGCCCGCAGTAAGGACCCAGTCAGCTCCATTTGTGCCAATGGCGTGTACAGAGCCCCACTATGTGCGGGTGCAGACCTCAGTGCTGGGGCAGAGCTGGGCACACACTCAGACTCAGAATCCTTCCTGTGCTGACACCGCACAGAAAAAAAACACCAAGACTGAGACAGACATAGTCCCTGTCCTTACAGCAGCTAAATCCCAGGGTGACCGGGGGAAGACAAACAGAAACATCCAATAAATGCAACAATTCCAAACTATGACCATTATTACGAAGGAACCAGAGAAGCAGCCGAGCTGGATGGCAAGACCATAGCTTCCTCCTAGAGGTGGTCAAGGAGGGCCTCTTTGGACAGCTGACATTTAAGTCAGGGCCTAAAGCCGCATCTCTCGGTCCTGGCAGGAAATCAGTCTGAGAAGCTTTTCAAAATTATAAGTGCTAGGCTCCAAATGCCAAGATTCTAGTTTAACTGGTCTGGGCTGGGGCTTGGGCATCAATATTATTTTAACTCCCCTAATTAGCCTAAAGTTCTAATAGGCCTCTAATGCAGTGGTTCTCAACCTTCCTAATGCCGAAACCCTTTAATACAGTTCCTGTGGATCGTGATCCACAGGTTGAGAACCGCTGCTCTAATGGATGAGAAGGAGGCAGCCTGGAGAGAGTGGAAGGAAGAACCTTCCAAGCAGAGGCATAGTGTGGAGAGGCCCTGACACGGAAAACAGCTTGGCACGCTCAAGGAGGTAAAAGAAGATTAATGCAACTGGTGTGTAGTGATGGAGAGAACAAAGGGTGCCAGATGGGCATCCTCACAGCTGCCCAGCTCTCAGGGGACTCGACATGAACCTGAACCGAGTGTCAGTTTGTTAATGCACAGGAGGAACCTAGTCTTCCAGGTGAGATCCTTGAGCCCTCTCCTGGGCGTGTCCTCTCCCCCTAGAAATCCCTCTGTGGCAACTACATCACCATCCTGATGTTATTAGGTGAGCAGAACGTACAGCATGTGGCTACTTTCTTTACCTCAGGTTTTGTTCATCAAAGGATTTAGGGCAGCTTAAAAAATCTATACACCACAGCAAGGTAAAATGAATTAAAAACAAGGTGTTTTAAAACGAGGTCAAGAGCAATGAAGACCAAAATGAAGCTAAAACCATAGGGGCGGTTAATACAGAGAATGTAAGTCGGGTGGGTCTAGGCCTTTCGGCAACTGGTATGAAATGGGAAAAAATGATCACATAGAAAATCCAGGCTCTACCGCATAAAAATGAATGTGCTGTTCAGGATGGTGAGGCTTTCCTGGCCCCCCAGCGCTGAGACTACAAAGAAACTTTGCCCCTGAAGTTAACTGGTCTAGGTTGGAGCTTGGGCATCAATATTATTTTTTGCATAGAGAGGACATCATGGCTCAGGGGAAACACCATGCTTAGCCCAAATGCAGCCAGCAACAAGTCTGTGAGGGGGTTCCTTACGTTTTTCCTCAATGTCGGCTGACTTTATCTTGCCAAGGAGTTTACTAAAAAGCAACCCTAGTGTGGGCACAGGGATTTCTCTTATCCAAGCTTATAAAAGATTTAGGGTGACACAGAGTTCAAAATTGATTATTCTCCCAGCAAGAGATCCAGTGGTTTTCTCAGTGTCTCAATGGGACACTGTCCCCTTAAAAAAGCATAGGAGGCAGACAAGGACAGCAGCCTGCATGACAGCCCCCGCCCCTCCAGGAGAGGAGGCCAGACCCTGCCCTTTGGGGGACAAAGCGAGAAGCACCACAAGCATGATGTATCAGCTCAGGGCCTCAGCGTACAAAAATTTATGCACAAAAGGGTAAACATACTCCAGGGCAGAACAGGGTGCATCTGCGGGCCAAGAACTTCTCGCCCCCCATCCCAGACAGCACTGGAGAAGGCCCAGCCGCTTCTGGCTGTAGGGGTCCCCGCTCCTCTTGGCTCCCTGGCTGACCTCCCTTCTCTTCCCCCGCTTCTGTTTGTGGAATTGCCAGTTTTAGACGGCACGGTTCATGCTTCCACCTGGCCCCGGGGAGAATCTGGTTTATCCTATTGCCTCCTACACACGTCTGAATCCTCATGTGTAGTATCTGCTCTGAGGGGATCTTCTTGGGAGGAGCAGGAGGTGACACCCATCTCATTCTCTTCCCTTCCTGAAAGCTCTCTGGTGTTTTGTCTCTCTCCTCCCCTCGTTCCTGTAACAGACTTTTAACCAACAGGAGTAGTGGCGATGGGGGAGCAAGTGACTTACAGTACAAATACACACAGGCCGACAGTGCATGCAGACCCAGCTCACACGGCCACAGACACAAATGGACATGCGGGCCCAAAGCTCAGGGTGTCGCTTCTCATGCTCTGTGCTCCAGGCTTGGGACAGAGTGGAGGGAATCCTGGGACCTCCAAGTGGCAGAAAGGAAGGAGACTCCAGGCATGGACCCTCCAGGGAGACTTCTGTGACCACCAGCCTCTTCCGGGGCTGACAGCCAGGTCAGGCGCTCCCCGGGGTGCCAGAGCACTCACCAGACAGCCCTGCCACATCTGCTTTCGAAGTCCCCAGCTCAGGGCCCAGCCCTGCTCACTGAGACATCCCACTGGTCACTAAATAACCACTTGCTGACCAGCAGATTGATTCTCCCATCTAACCTTCACAGCCACCCTGTGTGGTAACCATTTTAAAACCAAGGAAGCAGAGGCCTCAACTGCTTAAATGATTTGCATGAAAGCTTACCGCCAGCAAAGGAAAAGCAGAACTCAGATCCCCCCTCCAACCCTGGTCCTGCCTCTTCACTCTGCTGCCTCCCAAGGGGAGTGGTGAGCCCCTGTGGGCAGGAAGGGGCACACAGCCCCAAGGCTTACTGCTTTCAGGCGAACACAATTCCTCACTGTCAGGTTCAAAAGTAAAGACTTACTTTCTCGGCGGCGCCTATAGCTCAACCGGCTAAGGCGCCAGCCACGTACACCTAAGGTGGCGGGTTCG